CTCATCATCGCCGGCTCGGCGCTCTACAACATCTACAAGTGAGTGGCGAGGGCGAGAGAGATGCTGAGAGACATACTGTGTCATAGTGAAGCCTGGTGCAGACAAGTGGACTACAGCAGCTGGCGACAGGCTGCCGCTGGTCTCGCCTTCAGCCGTATCACTTTGTTCAGCCGTGAAGTAAGAGAATGGAATGACTATGCATGCCCCACCAGTGTAAAGAATTACTTAGAACATGTTCACGATATCTCAAGGATCAAACCACGTCTATACAACTGCGAGTTGCCCCTGCTGAGACTGCAGATCTATTGCCGGCTGGGCGTCGGCGTCAGCCTCTCACCAGCCCGCCCCTCCGCTGCTCCAGCGAGCCGGCGCTGTACGCGGTGGAACCGGCAGGGCTGATCCAGCTGTGGATTCTGGTGGCGGGGCGCAATCGGCGTCTTCACCAACATCTGCGGCTTCACCGGCGCTTGCTCCGCGTCAGGTAAGTCGCACGGGGCGATGGTCCAGGTCGCCGTGGCCGCTATGACCGCGCCGAGGTCGCCGTGGCCCCGCTGACGACGGTCGAGGTCGCGGGGCGCCTGACCGCCGGTCGAGGTCTCCGTGGCCGCCTGACCGCCGGTGGAGGTCGCCGTGACCGCCTGACCGCGGTCGAGGTCGCCGTGGCCCCTGACCGCCGGTCGAGTTCGCCGTTGCCCGCCAGACCGCCGGTCGACGTCGCCGTTGCCCGTCAGACCGCCGGTCGACGTCGCCGGACCTCGCGCGCCAGCCGGGGGGGGGGGGGGTGGGGGCGGGGGGGGGAGCACCCGCAGGTGCTCCCGCTCTCGCAGCACCCGCAGGAGCTCACCGCAGCACCTGATGGTATTGCGGTGAGCTCGCTCCGTCAAGCGTCTGGCGGGCGGCCATTCTGTTTCACCGCAGGCATGCGATGTGCGTCGTATCGCTCTCCTTCCGCTGCTTGAACTCCTTCTCCGCCACTGGCGTCGGGTAGCAGACCCGCCACCGAACCGGCGCGCGTGCTCAGAAAGTCCCGCCTGTCGTGCTGCACTGCGCAGGTGTCTGCTGCTGGGGTACGCCCTGGTGACGGGCCTGGCGGTGGGTGCCCACCTGGTGGTGGTGTACATGCAGCGCTCCGCGGCGACCGGCGCCACATCGGCGCCCTACATCACCGACGACCCGCACAGCGTCTGGACCGTCGAGATGAACGCCTACGCGGCCGAGGTTAGTTGGAAGCCACTGAGCCTCGAGGCCAGCTACGGCCCGCAGGGGCTCAGGTTTTCTTGGGGACGGAAGCAGTGGTTCTCCGGTGACGTGATAGCGATGAGTCGTTATTCGTTACGGTGCGTATTCTGCTTTGACCGGATCGGTGAGCACTGCGTTCTGAAACGATTCTTCGAGTAGAATCTGCAGTAAAAGATTTTGCCGTTTGTTGAAAAGTCAGTCGCGTGGTTTGCGGTTATTTGCCACCAGGGACACTTGCCACACGCCACCGCATTTCTCTTTCCAAGCTTGTTTATTGCGACTTACTTTCCAGATGGCGTGTATGCTCCCTCATTTTTTTTTTATACATCCAGGCTTAAATGTGTCCTGAAGCCGAGACAAATTGAGTACTACCGCCCGTTGTATGGAATATTAACGTTGTGCGCACAACAGCATAGCGACGCCAGGCTATACTCATGGTGTAGCGACGAACGAATCGGCGTCTTAGATGCGGCCAGAGTTCGTTGGAGGTAATCGGTTGTGCCCAGTGGCGGCCGAGCCGAGCCAGCTCCGAGATGGTGTGGTGTGG